TCGAGTAAAGAGAGTTTTTAAGACTGATTACACTGGCGTTTGTTCAGGGATAAAAAAATCAGACTATTACAGCTATTCATGGAGAAACATGCAGCCTCAGCCAGCATCCCAAGAGCGAGCAGGGACCCACAGTGGATGAACTCTGCTACTTTAACAGACAGGAGTAACAAAAATCATTGCAACAGCTCCAAGCAGGCTAAGTGCAGAACAGGAAGACACAGTGTGTGTAAAAAAAAAAGGGGGGGGGAGGGGGAGAAATCTGAGCTGCAGAATTATACCTAAAGGAAATGAGATCATCTTTATCATCTTTTACTCCTTAATTAACACCACAACCAACTGACAGAGTCATTAAAGCATGAGAGTTTTTATGATTCACGTTTACTTAAAAATCAACATATTTGGAAATTCCTGACCGTCAGCAGACGAGCTGTAGTTGGAGTACAGAAGCAAAAAAGCAACATCACATATGTTTGTTTAAAAGATCCCCCTATGGAGCGTTGCAGACTTTACCGGTCTGTTGAAACTGAAATTGTCCTTCTAGTAAGAGCCAGAAGGAAACTGATTTGAAAAATAAATGTAAGAAGAAATGTAAGGAGAAAATAAAGTGATTAACTGGAAAGGTGCCAAAGCATGTGAACGTCCGATTAGAATATTCTATAACACTGTCAGGAATAACCAATTAATTTACACATGTACCACTAAGACTACAACCAAGTATCTTGACATCTATGCCACTGTATTTTAGCACATCCCAAATATCAGTTAATTTTAAAGTGTGTTTCTACTGCAAAACCAGAACAGGTTCAGGAAACCTGTATTTATGTGTTCTGCATCAGATCAACTTAATTCATTGACAAAAACCAGGAGGTTTCCTTACCTTTTTTACTCAGTGGAGACTATAATTTACAGGAGAACAAGCTGGACTCAACTCTGGCTGTAGAGACCCTCAGAATTGTTGACAAAGTGTCAGATGCCAGGCTAAATCCAATGCTTAATTGCATTCGTGTCACTGTGTAGAAGACAGTGGAGTTTTACAGAGAGCTGATGGACAGCATATAGAATTTCTATGGGCCATAAGCAGGGAAGAACCCATTTTGACTTTACTATTTCATGTTGTGTTTGAGTTTGTCCCAAACCACGAACATTTTACTGGTTGTGGGACAGATTCTGCTCTTAATTATACCAAGTGAAAAGCATAATCTGTAACACTGAATCAACAGCTACACCATCATAAAGTTAGAGTTAGAGAAATCAGAATCAGAACCTAATAGCACAAATACCAAACCCTGGTCCTGCAACTGCAGCCAAGAGTCTAAATGTACTGTAAGGATATTCACTTTAAGGAGTTAAGTCTTATTCAAGTCACACATGTTCCAAAGTCCCTTGCTGAATCAGAGCCTGAGATGCTAAACATGGAACTTAAAGACACTGTTTTTAAGAGGCACATATCAGGCCAGGGGGGGGATTCCAGAGAAAGTTTCTGGGTTTTTTTTTTTTTTAAGAACATGCTTAAATGATTGATTTGACTGACTATTTGGGAATTTTATCTATTGGGTTTTAAATAGAGGCCACAAGAACAAGAGTATGTGGAAGCATTTTATAACTGGCCATCACTTGTGAAAAAGGACAGCCTGAACAAACAATTCCCTGGCTCCTGCACAGGGAAATGAAAGCAAACGGAGCAGTAGTGTGTTTACAATCTCCCCCAGTACCATGTTGTAAAAGAAACAAGCCCACACTCTTGTACGCTCAGCCACGTAGCACGGATAGCGAACAAGAGAATGCCATATGGGAGGCAGCAGCTCAGAGGGCATGGGTGGTCAGTCATGCAGGCAAGGGAAGGCACAGCCTTCCCAAAACTGCCAAATGCCCTACTGCCTAAGGCTGGGGCTATGGTGCAGCAGCCTGGCTCCGTCTGGCTCCGCTCCCAGCCAGCTGGGCTGCTATGAGCTGCAGCACAGCAGCCCGGCTCTGCCCGGCTGTCGGGGAGGGATGGGGCTAGGGCACACAGCCTGGCTTCCCCTGGCTGCCAAGCAGAGCCAGGACGGGGCAGGAGCACGGCAGCCACGGCTCTCCACACGGCCCGGAAAGATCGGGCTGGGCGTGAGCAGGGCCTCAGGTGGAAGGGGGCAGGGCTGGGACTTGCTTCCCCCCCCCAGCTAGCCTGTCACCCAACACCCATTGAGAGCAACACTTGCTCACAGGTCACCGATCTCAATCTCCTTGTAGTACTGTAGCATCTTCAGCCACATGACTTCAGCCTTTTGTCCCGTGATGGGCGACCTGTGGCCCATTGGGATCTATGTGTGGCCTATGTGACATTTGGTTTACTCTTGCCCATGGCAGGGTTGCCAGATTCTGCTGGTTTCTGTCAGTATCATTTTTTTCCTACAGGTATTACTAAAGTGACTTGAAGCGAGGGGCGCAGGGCCGGCCCACAACATTTTAGCACCTGAGGCGGGGACCTCAAATGACGCCCCTATGCCCCCTCGCTTGGGCCAAAACTTTGAAAGGTCTCAATTCGGCCTTCTTCCTGTTCTACTCCTCTCCTGGTTCTGCTCTGCTACCTACATATGCACCAGCAGCAGACACAATTTTCTACACTCTGGGGCCTAGTGGCACCCCCCTCACAGTCTGGCACCTGAGACAGCCGCCTCAGTTCGCCTCATGGTAGGGCCAGCCCTGGAGGGGCATTCTGACTGCACACAGCATTGACTGTGAGAGCCGCACGCTCCCTCTGCGTCCAGTCAAAGCCCTGCTATGGTGCAATCAACACCCACTGCAAATTCTAGCTACACAAGCGCCGTGAGCAAAACTCTTTCGTTCCCTCACTCCTGCCCCGAGATAACTCAGATTTAAACTCGGAATTTGGAAATATTCTTCTGTTCCGCCATAGACTTGCTGGTCAGGCTCTTCCAGAGTGGAAAAAATCAAAGTCAGGCAAGGCTACACCATCATGTAAGCCATGCAATAATGAACCAACGCTCTCCCCATCGCTGGAGTCCAGCCTCTGGGGAGAGGAGCATCAGCACTTGGAGTGTCCATCAGCATTGGGGAGCAAGGCCAGAACTGCCACAATGCACCCAACCCACTCCTGCTCTCTGGCCCATGGCAAAGTGCCTAACGGGTGCCTAGAGCTACTCCCACCACAGCCTCATTCAGCAGCACCATTGATTCAACCACTGAGGTACAAGGATTTGGTCGGACAGAGTTACGAGGGGCTGGTGTGATGCAGAAGCCTTTGCCAAACCTTACTATGGGCGAATGTTACCCAGTAGGTCTCAAATGGAGTGACCGTGGGCTAGAACCTCCCAAGTGGCATCTTTGAGGCATCTCCTTAACCAAGGTCTCCATCCGCCGTCCTGCCTGCCAACATGTGACACAAGCCACTGCAACATGGCACAAAATGACTGGGACTCTGGGATTCCGCTGCATGAAGGGAGATTATGACAGTTTTTTAACTCCACCACATATTTTCTCTGACTGAGGGAAAGGAGATGTGGCAGACAAGTCGAATTTAGGGGGGGGGGAGAAAAAAAAATCATAATTTAGCCCATTTCTGAACTATTTCTAACAACATGGTCAGAAAAGGGAAAGGAAAATGAATTTATCAGTACAGCGACATTTAGCTCAGGGACTGCAGCAGGGATCAGGAGCAGTCTGTCAGATGTGTGTTTCAAAGGCAATAGTGAAGAAAACAAAAAATGCTTTTGTCGGGCTTTTAATGGAGGTTTCATTTCTTCTTTTCAAGTGGCTCCCTCTAGTCTCAACTGTGCAATTGGTGTGTTAAAAGTCAGCAGGTGAACCAGTCTTCTGGGTTTCCTTAAAAATCTAGAGCAAGGTCTTCGCTGACTTACACCCTATAAAAGCCCTGTTGAAGCTAACAGGGTTTCATGGGGATTGGGTCTTAGAAGAATTTGGCCCATTTTTTACTGTTGGTAACTCAGTCCTGGATTTCCAAGATGGACTATTCTTTAAATGATTCTGTTAAATCTTGATGGCAAGAAAAGTGAGTGGGTCTAATGCAGCTTAAAGTTGTGGGTTTTTTTTTTTACGCACCCTCAATATTGAGCTTCCAAGTTAATTAAATTTCATTCCCCCTTGACACAGTAACCACTGTAACACCTAAAGAAAACCCCATATTCTTGCAGATTCCATCAGACATGACAAAAGTGAACCTCTGGAATCCTTTGATTATTAGAACGATCCCATGGAATGTTTCTCAGGAATAGGGAGTGCTGGAGTAATGGGCAAATCACTCTCAACAGAATAACCATTTACCCCCACTCCCCAAACTCTGTGTTCTAACTAGACTGCAGTGGGGATAATAGATTCTGCTAATTCAGAATGACCCCTTGCATTTCATCTAGAGAAGGTATTCCTGATTCCCTTGTTCTAAACGTTCTGTTGGTGCTCAGCATGTGCTCTTTATCCCCAAGTCATGGCTGTTTCACCCAAAGGGAATTATTTTCTCAATATATTGGGGCAAATTCTGCCCTAATCAATGTGTGTGCCCAACAGATGGTAAAGTCGTGAGGCATTTCAGCATAGAAGGTGCTATATAAACTTACGTAAAAATCCACAATAGTTACAACACAAATAATATATTTCCTCCCTTATCAAAAGCCTCACCCATGTTTCTACTCCATTTTTCGATACTGCTGTAAGTGATTAACAGCATAGTAAGCTAAGGAACTCTACAAAGAGCTAATTCAGACTGCAGAGTACATTTAACTGTTGGATTATACATGGTTTACTGTGTAACTACATTAGGAAGAGATTAGAATTCCCCCTGAGTCATTCGGAGAGGTGTTTGTTTGCAAAGGGTTAAGTGTCCTCTTTTCTAAAAACAAAAATTCTCCTAATGGTGCAAAGCTTGAGACAACGTTAACCGGTGTAGCTTGTCATCAGGCTGGAATGCTTGGAGCCAGCCAATCACCTCTCAGGCTAAGGGTTTATATACAGATACACTTCCTGTGCAGAACAGTGAGAAACTGAGCTCAAGGCTCAGATTGCTAAGGACCTACAAGACTAAACCTGCTGCTGTCACAAGCGCAGAACCCTGCAAGCCTTCAGCATTGTCAGTGGAGTGGTAAGTTCAATGCCTTTACAACCTAATTGCATTTTATTAGCACACATGCAGCATGCCGCTTGGAAGGGAGTGGCTGCTTTTTTAAAACCCACAGGACACACATTATGTGTTTTAGCCATTTGAAAGCTTATTTCAACTGCTAGTTCCCATTCCAGACATCAGATAATGCAACTTTAAAATATCGATCCATGCAGACTGCAAGATGTAATAAGGCGTGGTGGTAAAGAACTGAGTTTAGAACATGAATTTTGGAATATTAATGACTGATGCTACACCTTTATACATGTTAAGATTGGCACTCAGCTGGTTCAAGACAAATGCTATTTTTAAACCGAATGTTTTCTGCAATCTGAAATGGATTTGAGAAATGTGCATTAGTCTAGCTACCTGAGGGATGATTTCTGTTCTGCAGGAGGATACTGGTGCTTCTTATAACGAAGATGCTCTAAACATTTTTAGCTTTTAGATTTTTTTTTTAAATCAAGGGCACGTAATGTCTGATGGCAGGGGAAGAGGGGAAAACATTCCACTTAGTTGTGCTGATTTTCTTTAGAATGGTGAAAGCAGTCATTCTCCAGTAATTTTTTCCCCCCTTCCTCCATCACATTTTGTAAAACAGTTTAGTTTTTTGTAGCTCATCACTTATAAGCAGATTACAACAAACATGCTATGCTGCCTTTACTGCACATGCACTAGTCCTCTGGCTGTCACTGGCAACTGCATGTGCAGGATGAAGGAAGAATAAATGGGGAGGGTGGAGAAAAAGGCTGGATTTAAAAAGGAATCCTAGACAGGCACCTACATGAAAAGCCAGGTTTCTTGAGTGCTCAGCAACTCTGACTGATAGCAAATGAGCTACTGAAATGGGAGCAGCGCTCTTCTGAGTCTGCAGCCCCAATTTTGGATGCTGGGCACTTTGTAAATATGGCCAGGAACGATTCGAAGACCCTTTGAGAATACACAGCCACGCTCGAAGAGCAACCGAACAAGATTGTCGAATTCTGTGTGAATAGCTCTGTTCCGCAGTGGTGATTAAAGGGGGGAGCTCTCCACATCCCTACCCCCCTGCTCTTTTGAGTTTATACAGATGGGTAGTTTTAAAATTTGCACCAATGCTTTGAGAAGGATAAAAATAATGTTTCTGAACTGACCACGGACAGGTGATTTGAGGTGAAGTTTGCAAGCAAATCTTTAACTGACAGTAGGATTGGTTCTCATGTTTCACCCAGGAATTCACAAGTCTTCACATGCAGGAGTAGGTCTCCACAGACTTGCTCAGCTTCTGTGTCCAATGGCTGTGGTAGAGGTCTCAGAGAGGAAAGTTTTCTAGCTTAAGGAAAGGCGTTAAAAAGCGCACCAGCAAAATAACTCAATGGGGAATCCATCCTTTAAAATGTGTTTGAGGCCGGGTTCACACAACCAGCTCTTTTAGTTCGTGGGAAAGAAGGAAAAATAGTCCATGTTCCTTCCTTTTTGCTCCTTCCCCTGAGCATTCTGTGGTTCTTGGTGAAATCCAAGCAGCCAACTGTAACTTCCCATCCCAAGCCATAACACCACTTTAAGTTCCTCTTTTATTTTCAGAAGCGGAAATACTGCAGGTAGAAGAAGAGGAACCAACCAAATCAGGACTTACCCAACGCCATGAAGTTACTCATCGTTATCTCACTTACGCTGGGAGCGCTTGTCACAAGCCTTGAATCTGTAAGTTTCGCAACAAGCAGGGCCGCTCACTCAGCACTGCTCCTGTTTATTTCCATTTTTGACCATTTGATAAGAGCTTCCCCTTACACCGCGGAACCAGGCCTATTGTTAGCATCCTGCTATAGGCAGATATCAGCCCTTTTTCGGTGCCTTTTTTTCTTCCTAATTCTAGTGCAATTGCAGGGCGCTGAGTACCAGGAATTAGAGATTTAACGTAGGCTATTAGGCTTGATTGGCATGCTTCCCCCCAAACCCTGACTCTAACATTGGCCATTTTGGTTCCTATCGGCTTGTATCACATAGGGCAATGCTGTCCATACACATGGATGCAACAGAAGCCTTCTATAGCCAAGTCCTGTGTTTGCACCCACTTCAAGAGACAGTGTAACTAGGAATCAAACTCTGGCTTCTGCTTTAGAGCACAGGCCCCTTATAATTCCAATGCCCAGGCAAAGGCAGGATCTGGTGCACATGGCAAGCAGAGCTATTGCTGTATAGATCTGTGGGCCACTACCACCATGAAGCAAGGATGCACCAGCAGTAGGGTTGCCAAAAACTAAGGGCTACAACAGTGGACAAATCTTGTGCTTTTATTCCACTGTCTGGTGTAGGTGGGTGGGGAGGAGGTGGATTCCCTTCGCTCACTGTGCGGCCATATGAGCTTGGTTTCTGAGGCAGAACTGCAAAAAGTCTGGATTTGGTACATTCAAGCAGCTGGCTATTTTCATTCTACTTTACTGCAATCGCCATTCACTAGATCTCCTGCACTGAATGGCCTAGCTCTGCTGTCAGTTGCAGGCACACAAGCCAGACGCTAGCATGCAAGAAGGATCAGAGCTGGAACTTGTCTGTGTGCGCTCTAGCGCAGCGATGGGCAACCTAGGCTAGAGAGTGGGTCACATAAGTGGCTCTCGTTCATCTCAGTGGGCCACAAGATTGTGGTAACCAAGACGGTCTCCCGGGATAGGGCAGTTTTACTAACTGAAGATTTGTAGATTGTGGTAACCAAGACGGTCTCCCGGGATAGGGCAGTTTTACTAACTGAAGGTTTGTAGCTAGAATTTGCGGGATCTGCTGACTGAACCGTAGCAGGGCTTTGATTGGGGAGCACACAGAGCTCACAAGATTGTGTGCAATCACACACACCTCTCTTCACGTGCCCTTGATATAACATGCATATCACTTTAGTAATACCGGCAGGGAAAAAACCGATATTGACGGACACCAACAGAATCTGGCAACCCTGCCCTGGACAACAGTAAACAAAATGTCTCATGGGCTACACATAGAACACCGATGGGCCACACGTGGCCCATGACCTGGAGGCTGCCCACTGCTGCTCTAGAGAGAGACAGCAATGAGCACAAAAATTAAGGAACAATTTGTAAGAAATTGTTTACTTAAAAAAAATTTAAAATTGTATTTTTCCCACTTAGGCTGTGACCTGGCAGCAGCAGTACAAGCTATCGAGCAAATATAAACCAAGACACCAGGGTAAGTATTTGCCATTTCTATTTCTCTGTGTCTATAATTTGTGGCCAAAATATACCCAATATACAGTAATCACACATAGCACATACTACATACTTTGGAATATTTACATATTAAACATGGGTTAACTATCCTTCACTTTATGGCTCTACTGAAAGATTTATAATTTATTGGCACCTTTTGCTTACAGATTGTAACTGTTTAAATGGAGGAACCTGCATTTCCTATCAACTCTTTTCCCGGATTAACCGTTGCTTATGTCCAAAAGAATACACTGGACAGCACTGTGAAATAGGTATAGTAAAGTGGTTCCTATTCCATTCTATATTCCACCTTTTTCCCTCTACACACACCCCTCCCTTTATGCCTGTTTTCTAAATTTAAGGTGTTTCTAATCTCCGTTTCTATGCTCCAATAAAAATGAAAGTACCACTGATAGAAACACAAATGGATATGTCTTGATGACTTGTATTAATGCACAATCTAAATATTACTAATTCAATATCCAAATATTAGATAAAGACAACCAGGTCTTCTGGGTTCTATTCTCTACTCAGTCATTAGCTAAACTTGAGATGATCACAACCTCTTTAATTCAATTTGTTATTTTGTAAACTACAGCTGGTTGGTTTTACACTCATCTCCAGAAGTATGGGGAGTCTTAGATAGTGAAATATACCAACATCCTTACATAAAAGGTGACAGATTGGATTCAAGACATGATTGTTGTATATTTTCAGGAGCACTGAAACACAGGTGCATTCAGTCTTAGCCCTGCGTGTGCCAAACACAGCCATGAAGTGCCATATCGCCCTGTTGGCAAGCAGGGAACAGTGACAGGAATCTTACCTTGCTTCCCACGAGAATGTCACCACCTGGCTTCTTTCTGCTGTGCCATACTGTGAACAATCCAGAATATGCCGCCAACTTTGTGTTCCTGTTTCAGACTTCGAAAGCCGATGCTACACCGACGATGGTCAGGACTACAGAGGGACTGTGTCAAAGAATGAGAGGAATGAAGAATGCTTGTCGTGGGACTCCCCTTCGCTAAGTAGGAGGTTTTACCATGCCGGCATAGAGAATGCCATGAAGCTTGGCTTGGGAAAACACAACTACTGCAGGTAATTCCTACAGCTTTCATGCTGAAAGGGCTGGTTATTTCCCAGCGTTCCTTGGCGTGATGGGAGTTTCTAAGACTGCTTGCTAAATTTGGGTTTGATCCTGCAAGGTGCCTAGCACCCATATTTTTCCACTGAAATTAATGGTTTTTGGATACTCTCTGTACTTTGATGTCTTGGGCCATTCAAGAACCTTAGAGAAGTCCCAGTGCAGCAAATAACATGGATGAGCTGCATATTTTATTCATATTTTATTTTCTCCTTCTGCAAATATCCTCCCTGACAACCCTCTTTAGGGGGATTTCAGGTTGTACTACATCACTAGCACTTAGAAGTACAGCTGACAAAAAACACATCTCCTTCATTTTTCAGAAACCCAAACGGAAAAGCTAAGCCCTGGTGTTACATTAAGAGGGGTTTTCGGACTTTGGAAACAGACTGTGATATACAGCAGTGTCGTGAAGAAACAGGTAAGTTAGAATTTACTTAGAAATGACTTGGATATCTGGAGTTCCACATACGAGTGGTGCGAGAGATGGTCAGTGCAAAGCAGAGGGATGGAAGGATTCTTTAGCTTTCCGTCTCCCTTTCACAGTGCACAATGAATTTCAAACTGGAGGCTCCTAGTACAACTGGGGGCCAAAGCATTCTTCAATGCACTTCTGTTGCCCCACTAGCTTCCACAGATTATCTGCAAGCAGAAATCAACTCATAATATCCACCATTTCAAATTGTACTGGCTCTTAAGGATAACATGGTGTGACATCGCCACACATTTTCTAGACAATTTATGGAAAGACATAGCGGTATTTAAGCCAGTTTCATCACCAGGACTGGTACTCACCAATGTTCCCTCTATTTTTTTCCCATCCATGTGCAGAATAAGTTTTGTTGCATACACCAAGGCATGTGCACCACCAGTGGACACATATGCTGCCAGCTGTGGGCATTCTGCTAGTCAGCTGGGTGAAATTTGAGTCTCTCCTGTGCTGCCGCCCAAGAGCTCAGCTTACAGGGAACCCGGTTACTCGCTTGCCATACTATGAGTGCACTTGACTTGAGCCACACCTCCAATAAGCGTTTCCTTTCCTTTCCCAGAACCCAACTGTGGCCAAAGGAGCTCCAGCAAGTATTTCAAGATTGTGAGCGGAAACATTGCGGCTATTGAGTCTCAGCCTTGGATAGCCACCATTTTCCATTACTCAAAGAGAACTGAGAAGGACTTATTCATCTGTGGGGGCAGCCTCATTGACCCTTGCTGGGTGCTCACTGCTGCACACTGCTTCTCCTCAGGGTAAGTACTCACCACCATCTCTTTGTCTACTGCTGCTCTGTTTTTGCTTTGACCCTCTGGGCAATGCCCCATGGCTAAAAACTACCCCGGGTGTCTCAGCCACAGCAGGACTGTTCTTTTCTTTAAGCCATTAGAAGCCTATATCTTGTACCTGGTAGCCAATGTTTTGAAGAGATGCTGTTCAAAAAGCCCTGAACACCTCTAGCGCCAGCTGGAAACAAGAGAGCCCAGCTACATTAACATTCTGAAGGAGATTTATCTAAGTATCATAATAGATTTGGACACCCATTTTCCATTCATTTTAAAAACAAGAATATCAAGAGCCCATATCCACTAGCAAATCATTTAGGCTTAGATTTTCAAAGTTGCCTGCCTCCCCTTTTCTACGTCAGCAGTTGCCGCAGTTGGCACAAGATGTTTGAAACAGGGAATGAAAAAAAGGGAGAAGTTCACAGGACTCTAAAATATTATTCACCTTATGAACCCGTTTGGGAAAAGATCAACCAAACCCTGTCCTTGCTCTCAGAAATTTGATTGTCTTCATAGTTCCTTTATTTGCCTTCTTCCCAGGGAAAAGGACCCATCAGGCTTCAAAGTTGTTCTTGGAAAGTCCAATCTGAATACTACTGATGACAGAGAACAAACTTTTCAGGTGGAAAAAATCATCATTCATGAGAGCTATTCAGATGAAACAGGCACCTACAACAATGATATTGGTAAGCCATGTCCAAAATACACGTACAGTAAATTCTATGCTATCCGGCACTTAAGTAGCCAGAAAACTTTAGAAACTGGCAAATTTCCGAGCCGGGGAAAACTTCTTAAAAGAAGAATTAAGTAGCCAGAAAACTTTAGAAACTGGCAAATTTCCGAGCTGGGAAAAAACTTCTTAAAAGAAGGGAAAAAAAAAAAGGAAACTGGCGCTTTAAGCCGCACCGTTCCTCAGACACTCTCCCCCGTCCCTCTCAGACATGCGTGCAGCACGTACCTGGGGAAGGGTGAATGACTGCTCCGGCTGCCTGATGCCAGGTCGCAACCCGGCCCCCCCACAGCTCCCAGCAGCCTGGCACTCCCGCGGCTCCCGGCC